ACCATGGACAGGACCTCAAAGCCACCATGCTTTGCCTGTAGTGCTCAGCACCTGGCTTCTGGAATGTTGTCTTTGTTCCCCACAGAATGAGTTCTTGCCAGAGAACCACTTGCCACTGCTCTCCCCCAGGTCTATATCGTTCTACTCCTTGTGCCTCACTTAGTCAGTTCAACAGAACACTCTGAAATGCCATCGTAATGAAATCGCTGATCTGGTGCTGGGAGACCTGATAACATCAGCCCTTCTAGTCTCCGTCTGTCTGGGAATGGGGCAGAGGGGAACCAAGGCTGTCCTGACAATGCTACAAGGTATGTAAAGTCTAGGGCCTCGCCCGAGCTGCTGAGGGTTATGTGACCTACAGCTGGGTAGTTCACCACGGCAGGCATGCACTTACCTGAGGTCAAGCCTTAGCTATAGGAACCAATGTGGAATGACTGGAGGCAGAAACAATCACGCCAAGGGGACACAGAGCGTGCACAGCCGCATCAGGGAACCCAGCCCGGAGGAGCTGCAGTCAATGACTCAGCGAACTGCAATCTCCGCTGCAGACTCCACCGACAAGAACACTTCATGGATGTTTCTAAGCAGCTTCAAGGCCACTAAAAACACCAAACTCACATAGTCAGCTCGTCTGCCTTTCAAATGACCCTCCACTTTACTGCTTGAGCCTCAGAAGAGGAAACCCTGTTGAGGGCCATCCTCCTCCCTCTAATTTCAGGGGAGAGCATCTTCTCTGTCACACTTTCCCCAGGCCAGTCCAATTTAAGAAAGGGATGTGCTGGCAGCAGCAGAATTGAGTACCCAGCCATTGTTTGCCAAGTAAAGACTTTGGAAAAAACCAATTCACATCAACGATCATCTATTTATTTCATTAAGAGAAAGATGTTTTAACAGAAAAATATATATATAAAAATACGTATATTAAATACATACTATAAATATAATATATAATAAATATGTATTAAATATATATTAAACATATATATTAAATATAGTATATATATATGTATGTGTATATGTATCTCTGAGAATGAGATAGTTCTTTGAATGGAAAACAGCAAGTCGGCTTTAGGAAAACCTGCCGCTGGCCCTCCTTTTGCCCATGCACTGTGGACCAAAGACACCTCAGGCTGGGCTTGAGGAAGCGCTGAGGCCTGCCCGTCAGCCAGCTGCTTCCCTCCTTTTTGTTCCCTTTACAGCTGCTGTGGGCCTGTGGAGGCAAGTGTCTTCTCAGGTGTACTTCCTCCTCTTACTCCTCCAGCCCCTAGCCATCTCCTCTTCCGGACCTTTTACGACACCCCTCTGGCCAGTCTCATCCTCGCCAGGCCCAGCGGCAGGACTTCCTCAGGCTCAGTCCTGGCATCTCCTCCTTTCTCCCCATGTTCCATCTCCCAAAGGTAAGCCCAGCTGCTCGGTAACCGTCTCTATGCCATCTAGGTTCCTCAATAGCCCTCTCCACATACCACCATCTGAATGGCTCACACGTAACCTTCCCAACTCAAAGGTCCCAGCACGCCCAGCAGTTCCTGACCTACAGGGCCGCTCATTGGCCCCAATGCCGTAGCCTCCTCCTGCTCACGCATCCTCCGTTCCAGCCTGGCTGGCCCTTTGCTCTACAATTCCAGGCCAGTCCAGCTGCCTGCACAAACTGATACCTCATCCCCACTCCTGACTTCCACTCTTACCTGAGAAAGCCCATCCCCAATTGGTGGGCGACTGGAATCCCAGCACTCCTTGGGGCCACCTCCAATGCCACTTTCTCCCTACCCCAGAGGACTGATTATAAGGATTCAAGAGCTAGTAAGCTCTTTGAATGTCGCAGAAGGCCCAGAACTGTGAAGTCTAGCTCGGTGTGGTGGCGTATCACACCTTGAACATAGTCCTTGAAAGGAGAAACAGTTCCCTGCCTACCTTAGATCTCAAAGGGCACCCATATCTTAAAGCCCTTTCCCTTTTCAAGTCAGGCGCGAGAGACCCCAAGGCTCACACCTGGATGGAGGTTTCAGGAAGGGACCCAGGAGCAGAGCAGTTGGCCTGGGTGACCTGGCCCCAGGACTGCCTGGCTTGCCCAGTCCCAGGGCAAAGGCCAAACAGCAAATGCAACCACCGCGGGACCCTCATTCACTCATTCAATAAATATTCACCGAGTATGTAGCTGCTGGGCTTACAGCAGTGACCTACAATCCCTGCACTCATGAGGGTTATTTACATTTTCACAGGGAGAGACAGGCAGTAAGAAAGTAAACACTGGTTAGGTAATAACATTTGCTCAGCCAATCAGGGGGACAGGGGTGAAGACAGAGTGGTGTGATTTTATTCAGGATGGTCAAGGAAACCTCTCTAACAAAGGTGATCAAAGGAGAGCAGAAGTCATGTGAAAATTTGGAGAAAAGCCACCCCATTCAGGCAGAGAAGACAGAACAGGCCAAGGGCACTGTGAGTTTATTCTTTTCTGCCCCAAATTATCACAGCTTAATGGCTTAAAGCAACACCTATTATTCCCCTTACAGTTCTGGAGGCAGAAGTAATGAGTCTACAGGGCTGCGTTCCTTCTGGAGGCTCAGGGGAAAATCTGTTTCTTGCACCTTCCAGCTTCCTAGGAGCTGCCGTTGCTCCTTGGCTCCTGGCCCCATATTCTGACCTCTGCTTCCAACCTCCATCTCCTTCTCTGCTGCTGACCGTCTGTCTCTCTTATGGGGACCCTTATGATGACACTGGGCCCACCTGGATTATCTGGCTCATTCCCATCATCTCGAGGGATCCCTAAATCTAATTACCAACCACAAAGTCCCCCTTTGCCATGGAAAGCCACATCTTTACAGGCTGTGGAGATCAGGATGCAGACACCTTGAGGGACCATCATTCTGCCAGCTGCACATGCTAGCTCAGGAGTTGGCTCGGTGGGACTGAGGCCCGGTGGGAGGCCCGAGGGGCTGCTCAATGCAGGCGTGCTTGAACATCGAGGGGTCGACTGGCTGGAGCAGGGTGAGTGGGGAGCGGGCTGATGCCTGTGAGTCAGCAGGCCACCTGCTCATGTGGGCCCCTTGTTGTCCACACTTTGTGGAGATTCAGGAGCAAGACAGGAAGAAGCCCAGGGGGCAAGGTTTGCGGACCTTGGCACTGTGGCCATGCTGGGCCAGGTAAGCCTTTGTTGCGGGGGCCATCCTGTGCACAACAGGATGTCGAGTGGCTTCCCTGGCCCCTGCCCACTAGATGCCAGCAGCACCTGCCCTAGAGTTGGGACACCTAAACATGTCTGCAAACACTGCTGGAGGTCTCCTGGAGGAGTGAAGACCTTGCTCCTGTGTGGAGGCCCCACTATGCTAGTGGGAAAAGGACAGGTAGCACCTGTGCAGGCCCACCCAGGTGGAGTTTAAAAGACATCTCTGGTTTTTAAATGCTCCAACACAGCCCACAGAGGTATTTCTGAGATGCCGCTACGGTCACTGGAAGGCTGGACCTTCCTCTGCCTTGGCTGTGGTGCATTTCCTAACAAGGTTCTGGCCATCTTGAAATAATGATATTTTATTCTAAAAGGGCAGTGAAGTATCATGCCTGCCCCTTGGATAATTTTCTTAAATACTCAACTTTTCACCCAAATGTATTATCCCAACATTTAGAAGGTTTACTCGTATACAACACCATCTCTAGAAAACAAATAAATCCTTGCCTTTATGTTTGGTAAATGTCACAGCCAAACACATAACAATCATGTTCTTAAGTGTAGCAACAATCTATTTGCTGAGTTTAATCCAGCACAGCAAATTCCAGCACCCACACTCTGCAGTTCCACCAGAAACAGGCAAGAGCAGAGAAATATTCAGAAGAGACAATCGCTCCTCACAAACTCGGGCAGACTAAAGAGAAAGAGAATGCATGATAAATGAAGAATGCCACCACAGAGACAACCGGTACTGGCAAATGAACTTGGCACTGTTCTTGAAATTTAAAAGCCTGAGTCCATCCTAAAAAGCCAAGAGGCACTGGTTAGAAAACCTCTAGAAAACAGAAGTCAAATTGTCCGTGTCCGTTTAGTTAGCCCCTAGAGCACTGAATCATATGATGTGCTTTTGTTACTATTTTTACATTTTTTAAAAAAGCCAACAAAGTAGCTTTCCAGACATCCATAGATAGTACAGTGTGTTTCAAACAGGCCTAACTGTTTAGCTTAGAAAAAACTCCTTACCCCACCTACATTCTTCATTGCTCCATAGCCCTCCATGATATCTTTGTTTTGTGACAGACTTTTAAAAGATATGCTTGATACTTTTCTGAAACCACTTATTTGAAATGATTTGTTCAGACTCTTTCCAGAAGCTGCTTGAGAAAGTCTCTAAAAGAGAATACAAAAGCCGAGAGGAGTTAAGAATATTGAAAACAGGAGTCCTCATAGGTGAGGAGATGTGGCTCGCTGAAATGCTATGCCCATCTGAGAGTTTGGAAGCCTCTCGCTTTGTCCATGTCAGAGATGAAGACTGGGGGAGGAGAGAAGTGAGGAAAGAAACTGAAAGCACACAAGTGGGTCCAACCGCAATTTGCAGGAGGCCAGCGGTTTTGTGACACAGGACAACATACATGGAATGAAATCAATTGCATTTTCTCCTGTTGACCTAATGCTTATTGAATGTCTTGCCTGCTTGAGCTCCATAGCTTTGCCCATTAGCCTATGGAGTTAAGCCACACATGTACTTAAAAGATCAAGTGGTTTTCACCCGATACCCTCCAGAACTGATGCTCGGTCTGCTGGGAGGAAGAGAGAAGGAAGGGCAGGGTTATGAACTACCAGGGATGATGAAGCCCAAAAAAGTTTCTGTCTTAGAATCACGTCTGTATCACTGTTTGCAATACTGCAAATTTCACATTTAATGCACTTGAGGAAATGTTGTATATATATATATTAAGCTACATGTGAAGATCAACCGACACGATAATTCCTCAGCGCTATTCTCCGATCAGGCGTGGACAATCACCGCCAGGAACTCTGCCCGCCTCCTTCCCACAGGAGAAAGTAAGTAAGCAGAAAAGCGAGTTGGATAAAGCGCTTCTCTACCTCTTTACCCATTTCTTCATACTGCCAATTAAGTCTGACTGGAGTCTGCAAGTCTTGTTTTATCATCAAATGAACTTTCCGGAACAGAAGAGAGAGAGAAAAAAGAAAGGAAGCATATATTAAAAACATATTTCAAAATAGCAACTTCAGCAAACTTTCATTAGCAATGAAATACTCTTAATCTCTTTCACTTTCAATCTGTGCCACAGGAGTCTGGAAGGGAAACATCAAATAACCCTTCTAGGCTGCCCCGGCTGGGAAAAAGGGAGGAAGGAAGACTCTTGCTTGCTTAAACTGGTAGGATTTTTTTTTACAGCATGTAGCAATCCTATCTATTCTGTAATTCCAAACAACAACCACAATTGAAGGTTTTAAAAAGTGAAATTAGTTAGAAAAGAGAAGTTGTTAAGCTAAACCAGTCATCCCATTTTGTGCAGTCCTTCTCTGAATTCCTCAGTAAACATAAATAGTGATGTTCTGCTCAGAAGCCCATGGTCTGAGGCAGCTGGACCAGCTGTTAATGAACATCAGGCTGGTGGACCTTAGTCACCGAGGCATATTATTAAGAACCAAGGGCAAAGGAGAAAGCAAGCAAGTCTCAAAAGCCACAACTCGAGTACCAATATAGTCAGCCTCTAAATGCGAGTCTCCGCAGCGAAATAGATGTGCTTAAATATTTTACGTACAGATTTACATTGGCAGCAACAAAATCCTACACAAAACAAAAAAAAGACGCACGGAAGTAACTGTAGTACATTTTGGTTAATTCCTCATTCCATGAAATATTCATACAACTCCAGTTTCAATAAATCAGCTCCATCTGTTGATCTGACCTTACTGAACCACATATTATGACCACTAGTCTTTTGTTTTTAGAAATAACTTCCCATCAACAAGTATGCAAAATGTCAACTTGAATGATTAGCAATGAATTTATCTATCAGTGCAGTCTATGTTGATGAAAAATTTTGCTTTTCTTGTCTTGAATGGCAAAACTGAAAAATTACCTTACAAAGGAGGACTAGGCATTCTCCAACCAGAATGGTATTCATGGTTGCTTTTTTTGGGAACAGGGTCTCACCTGTACCCAGACTAGAGTGCAGGCGCAATCACAGCTCACTGCAGCCTCAGCCTTGAGGCTCAAAGGCAATCCTCCTGCCTCAGCCTCCCAGTAGCTGGGACTACAGGCATAAGCCACCACACCTGCCCTAATTTTTTGGTTTTGTAGAGACGGGGTTTCACCATGTTGCCCAGGCTGGTCTTCAACTCACGGGCTCAAGCAATCTGGCCAACTATGGCCACCTCAGCCTCCCAAAGTGCTAGGATTACCAGCATGAGCCACCATGCCTGGCCACAGTGCTCATGTTTAAATGGCCTCATCCAATGCTCCTCTCCAGCTTCCTCAGTATAAATGTATTTAAGTGGCAGTGCCACGGCTCAAAAACTGTCCACAGTGGAGATGACGACTTGCCATTTCAGTCCCCTCTTTGTAGTGACCTCACAACTAACTCTTCATCAGGATCTATAAACATCATCTCTGAAACCTCTTCTCAAAGCTGTATGCACCACTCTCTAAGCTTTGTTTCTGTACCTCTTGAGAATTAAATAGACATTTTTAGTAGAAAAGAAAGGACAGCCAAATGGATCCAAGAGACTCCTGCTTCAGGATTCCTATGCAGCCCTACAGCGTGTACAACCTGTGGCTACCAAATCACCAGTCTCAAAAAGCACATCTGATATACAGACCCACCCCACAAAACAGACTCAACACAAGCTCAAAGTGAGGTAGGCAGACTTCTAAGATGGCCCCCAACCAGCCCCTCCCTCTGGGATTCTCCCCATGTGAAATTCCCTCCCCTTGAGAATAAACTGGGTCTACAACTTGACTCTAACCAATAGAACACAGCAAAGGTGATGGGAAGTCATTTCTGTGAATAGAGTTACAGGCTGCTGTTCCACCTTGCTAGTGGACTTCTCTCCCAGCTAGCACACTTTGATGAAGCAGACTGCCGTGCTGGAGCGGCCCACGTGGCAAGGAATTGAAACCCTCAGTCCAGCAACTTGTGAGGAGCTGAATCCTGCCAACAATCGCATGAGCTTAACAGTGGCTCCTCCCCCAGATGAGATTTTGGATGAGACCACAGCCCTGGCTGACACCTTGATTGCAGGTTCACAAGATATATAGACAGAAGACCCAGTCCAGTCTCCTGGACCACATCCAAGCATGAGATAATCAAGGAGTGTTGTTATGGGGAAGGCTAGGTTTTGGGAAATCTGTTTTTGCAGCAATGGTTAGCTAATACAGTCATAGCCTTTTGATCTGTTTTCTATAATAACACGATGTAGTTTCTTAACTTCTGGGGGTTTAAGAGATGAGAAATGTTTCAAACCCAGACCTGCCTCTCCTCAGCTACAAGACCTTAGGTAACCTGGTATCTCAGTCTCCTGCACATCACACAGGATGGGAACAACTACTTAAACTGAGATAACAGCTATGAAACTGCTGACCCAGGGTCAGCCCCAGTAAACGGCAGGGGCTCATCAACAATGAACAGTGACTGCTCAAGTAGCATAACCAGCCACCACTCCTCAACTGACATTTTTAGAAGTTGACCTAAATCACTAGAGCCTTCTATCTTAACTGTTTCTCTCAAACTAAATTTTAATTCTAACCTTACAATAAGCAGCAATGGATTCACGAATTCAATGAGTCCTGTGTATTTCCTTCCCTCACTCCAAAATCTTTGAGGCAAAAATGCCAAACATTTTTAGATTACAGATACTCCTCTGTGTGTTACAGATGGTGACCATATTCTTTCATCCAAAGAAGATGCCTAGTCAAAAATGGCCAAGTGTATGTTTGGAACAATGAGGGCAAATTTGAAATGAGACTGTTCCAGGACATAGAGACATAAGAGCCATGGTGTTCCCAGTATATCCCTCAAAACACTAATTACAAGAGCTAAAAAAATATTCATTAGCTAGTACCCAAAACTCAAGTTCTCCATAAGTATTTTCTCCTTGCATTTGCTTTCCTTTTATTTATTTTATTTGATTATGAAGTGGAAGGTTTAGTTGCATAAATGTTTAGCCCAATGATCGTAAAAAATCACTGACTGCTTTTCCATTGGTAACAAATTAATGTCAAGCTTCACTCAATGATATTAGAATAGTAGTGTCTTTGAATATCCACTACCCTGTTTCAAATGGTGATCTTCCCAACTTTGTTTCTGTGGCCCCAACTCAAGGCTTCACTAATTAACAAAGGAAGCATTATAATGATCTTCAAGTCTCAAACAAAATGACTTTTAATTCAGTTCAATTTCCTGACATTCTTTCAGAAGGAGTAGAAAACAGCAATAAAGTAATACCCAAGGTGGCACAGCTACAAAGCCTTTGGAAATCCAGTGGTCTAAGGTAGAATCAGTACCTATGGCCCCACTGGCTGTAAGTGAGCGTTTGAGCAGCTCGAGGCTGACCTTGCAGCCTTTACAAGGCATCTCTGTCATGGTTGCATGTACACGGCAATGAAGCAGAGGGTGGGCGGTTCCAGCAGAACTACCTGCAAAGCCTAAAATAGTGACTATATTTACTATCTGGCCCTTCACAGAAAAACTGTGGGGACCCATGCTCTAAAAAGTCGCATGTCTGTCAAAGGAACAGTGAAACTCAACTCTCACAAAGAGAGTCTGTCATTTATAAGAGTCCAAATCATAAAGGCAGCAGTAATAAGCAATTCAGTTGTATCACACAGCTGGATGTGAGACACAATACTTTTTCTTCAAACTTAATGGCACAAAAGTGAAGGCATTTCTTAAGTGAACATGGAAAATTACACCGACCAGTGATGGCAACACTGGAGAAGCGGCCCTTCCCTCTCGGTGCATTTCTCCTGGGCACGCATATACCTCCCGATTATATCAGGTCTGGGAGCGGCATCGCAGAACTGCTGGGAGTAGACCAGCGCTTCGCCAGGCTGCGCCTGCATGGTGAGGAAAGTCCACTAGAGAGTCGATGCTTGGAGCAGCTGTTCTTGAAGCTATCAGTCAGCTTGGCCAGGCTCTGGAACAGAATGAGACAAGCTCTTTGAACAGAGATGGCGATGTGTCTCTTTCCTCCAGGAAGTAGTCCTCTCATTTGTTTAGGTCTGCTGCTATTTATTACTGAACAGTTGCCCACCTGACCCCACGCTCATTAGATTTCACATAAATGCCCTTCATCACAGGCACCTCTAATAGGTCTTAGTCATTTAAATCACATTGTAACTAAGTTCCCCTGGCAGCATGTGAATAAAATAGAGGACAATTATGGTACCATTTTACTGGTTCTTAAACCTTACATTTTTCTAAGAAAAAAATAAGTATTTCTATCGAAAATGTAAATGAGTCTGACAGAGATGAATGCTGCCTTGAGATTGTTACAGAAACACAGGGGAAAGGGGAAAACAGCTCCCAGACAATGTTTACTTTTTTTTTTTTTTTTTTTCAGTTCTTTGAGTTGCTGTTTTAGCTTACGTATTTTCATAAACCTCATTTTTCAGTCATAATTGTACATGGTCAAAAGTAATCTCATATGTATGTTGGTTTGCCAAAAATTAAAGTATGCATTCACAGCATGAAATCTCTCTGTGTGTCAGTTTTAAGCAGAAATCAGAAAATCTGATTTTTTTTTTTTTTTTTTTTTTTTTTAGAGAGGGTCTCATTCTGTCACTCATGCTGGAGGGCCGTGGCACAATCATGGCTCACTGTGGCCTCGACCTCCTCAGGCAGGTCACTCACTGCCTCATCCAGACTCATCCCACCCCATCCTTTATTTATTTCTTTATTTTAGCAAGACAAGTCTCACCACGGCCTGAGCTTTTCTCAAGTTCTGGGCTCAAACAATTCTCCCCTGCCTCAGCCTCCCAAAGTGCTGGCATTATAAGCATGAGCCACTGCATCCAGCCAGAAATCAGATTTTTGACCATTTCTTTTAGACTTCTGAATATATTCACTTTCCTTAAATTTTACTAGACACCAGAACCAAAAATGCCCAAGTGCAGTAGAACTCACAAAACTGGCTTGAGATTGAGATAAAGCCTTCTTGGGAGGGGTCAATATTGTTAAGTTCACATAAGAAAGGTAAAATAACTTATTTAACCTGGATAGAAGAGGACTCTGCCCGTGCCTCTTCCTGGAGCTTCTCAGAGTTTGAGAGGCTATGGAGACATCAAAAGAAGGCGCTCGGGCCTAAAGCTTCTTCCATAATTCTATCTCTTGCCTCCCATGGTGGGAACTCAAGCAAGACAAATGAGTGGTTGGCCCTGGTGCTGCACAGGGGTGGCCTCCAGAGAGGCTGGGGTAGGCAGCCCTACTTGGCCTCATGGCATAAAGCCTCTGTATCTCACCATGGAGACACCACGTGGTTCACCTAGAGTATAGTATTAAATGCCTAAACATAGAGCATCTTATTTGTAATCAGCAAACAGAACCTCAATCGTAGTAGCTGTTCTCCAGTGCTACCTGTACTTAGGTTAGATGGGTTTGTGGCGCGGAGTTAGTGCGGAAGTACGGTTCATGGACCTGCTTGCTCCCGAAGTTCACAATTCCAGTGAATCTGGGGTGGGGCTGGTAATCTGCATCTTAAGCACACGTGAGACTCAGAAAGTCCCTCATGGCCTTGACCTTAGAAAGCACTGCCCAGGCATGGTAGTTTTTGCGCATCTGTCTCATTTTGCCTGTAGGTTTCAGCTTTGCTTGTTCTGTCCTGTGGGTCTTATACTCTACAGAATCTAGACACATGCCAGCAGGCAGTAGGTGCTCACTTAGGATAGATGGAAACACTCCAAACCTTATTGTGGCACTGAATGCATTCAGCACTTTCGTCATGAGGTCAAGCAATTACTCCCTGCCTTGGCCTCTCTGAGGCCACCATGCAACACTAGGGCCAGCCACTCAGATGTCTTGCTTGAGTTCCCCACCACGGAGGCAGATTTTTGTATTTGCAAAACTTCAACTTTTTCTAAAAATAACAGAAACTACAAGAGCTCAAAGGGGAAAACAACATAAAACAATATAAGCTACAATGATCCCAGCTACATATAATACAAATACACCACAGAATTAAAATACTACGCAACCATCTCAAGGAAAGAAGCAGCTCTTTGTGAATAGATATGGGGAAAGGTAGGGGACATTGCTGTTAAGTGAGGAAGCTAGTGTGGAACAGTATCACAGTCCTGGCTTTGCGTGAGGGTGGCTAAATACGTATTCTCATTTTGTGTGCCGCATGAATGTTGGAAGGGTAGGCAAGAAGCTAATAAAGGCAGGTAGGGGCAGTAGGAGGATGGGGCAATAGCGAGACTTCTTATCATAGACCTTTGGAATTATCTTAATTATTGAACAATATAAATGTATCACCCCATTGCTGTGGGTTGAATTATATTCCCCAGGAGATATGTTCAAGTCCTAACCCCAGGAACCTGTGAGTGTGACCTTGTTGAAATAGTCTTTACAGATGTAATCTAGTTAGATGAGAGTCATACTGGTTAGGGTGGGCCATTACCCAATGGCTGGTGTCCTTACAGGAACAGGAAATTCAGACACAGAGACAGTCATGTGCCCATGAAGGCAGAGATCAAGAGTACGATGTCTACAATCCAAGGAAGCTGGAAGAGGCAAGGAAGGATCCTCCCCTAGAGGCTTCAGAAGTATGACCCTGTCCATAGGATTTCAAATCCCTGACCTTGATTTCAGACTTCTGGCCTCCAAAACTGAGAACTAAATTTCTGTTGTTCTAAGCCCACAGTTGTTTCACCTTGTTACGCAACCCCAGAAAACTAAACAGTCAGCCTCCATATCCATGAGTTCCATCTCAGATTTAACCATGAATGAAAATATTCGGAGGGAAAAAAACAACAACAAAAAAAAACACAAGAAAAAACCAATACAGTGTAACATCAATTTACATAGCATTTACACTGTAGGAGGTGACCATAACTAATCCAGAGATGAATTACAGTATATGGGAGCCAAGCGCAGTGGCTCATGCCTGTAATCCCAGCACTTTGGGAGGCCGAGGCGGGAGGATCACTCAAGGCCAGGAGTTTGAGACCAGCCTGGCCAACATGGTGAGACCCTGTCTCTGCTACTAAAATATAAAAATTAGCCGGGCAAGATGGTGCACACCTGTGGTCCAGCTACTCCTAGAGGCTGAGGTGAGAGGATGGCTTGAGCCTGGGAGGTCAAGGCTACAGTGAGCCATTTTTGTGCCATCGTACTCAAGCCTAGCTGACAGAGATCCTGTCTCCAAAAAAAAAAAAGTATGCAGGAGGATTGTACAGATGTGCAAATACTACACCATTTTATATAGGGACTTGAGCATTCAAGATTTTGAGTATCCTGAGGGATGGGGGTGTGTCTTGGAACCAATCCCCCAAGGATATAAAGGGATGACTCTATACATACTTAAATACAGTGGGGGTGCGCATGTGTGTATGCAAGTGTAATGTGTATTATATATACGTATATGTTATATATACAATAACTATATAACATGTAATACACTTAAGTATATTAAAACATCTTAAAATAAAACACATGAGCAGGCAGGCAGCTTACATGCATCCAGGTCCACGTCTCTCCTTCTCGCCTGTGCAAATAGCCTTCCAGTGGTGCGGAGCTCCTCACGTGGCTTGCGCCTCATCAGTTGTAGCTGGTGTGAGTACTTGACATCTTCGATCAATCCTGGACAAAACAAAAAAATCAATGTTATTTCACATGAGATCCTAGCATTCCACTAAACATACAACTATGAAAACCCAAAAGCTTCACAGAAAGGTGGAAACAGTTAAAAGTAATGTTTTGTAAAGAAAAGAAAGACCCCAAGGAAGCATCCTCTTTCTGGGTTGATGCAGCACCCTTTGCTCCAGGGCACCTGGGCAAGTTAGGATGCCCACATCCTCCGCTAATGATCACGCAACAAGATTGCTTGCTTGAGTAATTTCCCGAGACTGTAAACTCCTCTCTCTGAGAAGAGGACATGTTTTGTTTATCCCCAGGTTAGTGGTCAAAATCTTTGTTAAATAAACATATGAATGGGAATCTGTGTACAGGGAGAACATATGGATACAGCAAGAAGTAGTGACTTTGATAATGGTGCTTTGTACAAAAGCTGGAAACTCTTCTGTCTCCTATAACTCTGATTTCATTCTGGACTTCTATTCATCACTCATTCTTTCTCCTACCAAGTCCTCAATTCACTTACTTCAATCCAAACACCCATCCAGGGGAAAATGGCATCCCTCCCTCCCTCTTCCTCCCCTTCCTCCACATTCTCCAAGCTTTCCTTGGCCAGCTCCTGTACACAGGCCTGGGTCTGGGGTTGGACAGAGCACAGAACAAAACAGACTTGATTCACCCAAGGAAAGTAGCCTCTAACATCTCCTTTATCCATCCCTACAAAACTCAGCCTGAAGCCTAAGGCTAAAACTTAAAAACAGGTTTAGGGTGGGATGATTTAACTTATACTTGAAGCAACTAGCCTCAGGTTCCAAGTCTCTCCCAGTTCACAGGTTCTGGTTCTAACATTTCCTTCCATGTTATCCTAAAAACCTGGATCATTAACTGCCATTGCTCCATGCCCCACCCTCACAGAAACCTCTGGCATGCTGGTGGGTCACGAGTGGCACCCAGCTCTGCCACTCACTGGCTGTGGGACCTGGGTAGATCACTTTCCCTCTTTCCACCTGCTTCCTCCTGTCTCAAATTAGGACACTAAAAATACTTCTCCCATGGGATGAGCATGAAATTTAATGAAATGCAAGAAGGGCTTGCTTGGCAGGAGGCCTGGCATATGGTGTTTGCGGTGATTGTTATTATCAGGATAACACAGAATCTCCTTACTCATGGGAGAAAAAGTAAGTAACTTGCCAACTCTGGTATTTTATTATCATTAACAAATTCCTTGCCAAATATGTCACAACTCAAGCAAAACTCGGCACGAGTCAACCTGAGCTATCGCTGTCCCATGGCCTGGAGAACCGACAACACAAGCAAGAAGCCGGCTGCCTCCCCTTTGGGCCAGGCTCTGGGCTTAGCAGCATTGCTGCGTTACAACTCTCAAACAAGAAAATATTATAAACACTGATCCTGGGTCTGCTGAGAAGCTGAGATAGAGAGCACACCGTGCATGATGAATAGTGACACTCCTAAATGCTAACGTGGCCTGACCTGCAGGCACTTCCATAAGAGCTATTACAGACTTGTAGGTTTTCAAATACAGCTGCACTTCTCTGTTCTCACCAAACACAAGTCTCTATTTATACATCTTTATTAAAAGGTACATATCTTTAATAACTATAGAGTGCTCCATGCCAAAAGTTAAAGTGAGCATGAACTAAAGTTTGAGCTGTAGGCATATTTTTTCTTTTATTCTGCTCTCATTAGTCTATTCTTTCACAAGATAGTTCATTCAAATGATTGAGGTGGTGGAACAGTCTGTCACCTGAGAGTCCCACGTGATTTGTGGCAATAAAAAATGAAAAGTTCTAGCACAGTACCAGCATGCCGCCGGTGGCTACTGGAAATGTGGGAGCCAATAGCAAGAATGGTGACACTAGGCATATAAATCCATTGTATATTTTCAAAACTCTTTTGTTTGTCCCTCAAAACCAACCCCACTTCCACCAAAACAGTTGGCCTTCTCACTCCTGCTGGTAACTCACTGGGGATATTCACGGAAGGCTACACTTGTACTTTCTTAGCTGTGACAGCTTCACAGCAAAAAAATCAGTAGTTCACTGGAAATTTGCACAGGGCGCTGTGTGGCTGAATGGTATGAAGGGTAGGACTAAAACCAAGTCTGGAGATAGAATGTGGCTAAAGCAGTTGGTCATCCAGAACAAATACAGACTCGGGAGTCCCTGCTGGTGAACCCTACAGGTGGAACTAGGAGATTCAATGATCCATCAGCAGGTCCTGATACAGGTTGGAGGAGCCTCTTATCCTCTCTCTACTTCAGGAGCTCAGGCTGAGGGTAAGGTCCCTTGGAGAGGCCATTGTCTTTGAGAAAGTCTCAGAAACACCAAGACACATGATGTAGGAAAGCATAAAACAGAAGCAAAGCCCAAGTGTTTCCTCTTCAAATACTATGTAGAACAAAGTCTTGAATACAAGACAGAAATAAAAGGCCATACATCTCAGCACAAGTCTTATTCCACCGTGATTCCTAAACTAGAGTGGCGTGAGGCCTTACTGCACATGCTTGTCCTCGCCAGCCCCCAATGAGATAAGCATAACCTCCTCGGATTTGATGATGATGAAGTTGAAGCTCAGAGCAATTAACTAAATGGCCAGATGACAAGTGATATCTGGCAGAGCCAGATTCAAACCCACCGAGCTGACTCCAAGCCTGCAGGATCACGGGGTGTGGTGCTGCCCCTTCCTACTGAGCATGACATCTACTGCTCTCAGAGTGGGCAAGGCGAGTCCAGATTTAAAAAAAAAAAAAAAAAAAAAAAAAAAAAAACAAGGGCAAGCTATGTTTCAGAGAACTCCAACCACCTCCATTTATTCAACTGTGATCCATTTTCATTCAACAAAAACTTCAAAGGACAGTGGCGTCTTCTTTCACTTCTGCAAAATTCCATTTATTTGAGAGCACACTCTCTCTAAAACTTCCCTATAAAACTTTGGTCCAATGTAGATGATGTGCTCAATGATTTGGTATTTTTAAAAAATATCTATGAATTCCAGTTCATTTAAAAAATCATTAAGATCTGTGACTGCCAAAGAACTGCCTTATTCTGGTCTTAATTTTAATTAAAAGTACAAGGCAATTACCTTTACCATACATCCCCAATAAATGACAGAAGTAGCGCTGCTCAAAGAGAGAAATAAACAAAACATAAGTTGTTAGGCAATACGAAGTAAAATTCAGGCACATTCACAGTCTTCGCACACACCCTCTGGACGGGCTAGGGTTTGGGTGGGTTTGGCTGGGGGTTCTTTGGCCCGGCAACGGGCAGGAGTGAAGTTCAGGCCAAGGCCCTCCACACCAGGACTTGTCTGCTCCATCACCAGGTTCGCAATATATTAAAAGTCAAGGCCTCTAAATGCCCATTGTGTCAAACCTGAGGCCTACCTCAAGTATCAGTCAAATGTCATCCCAAAGTAAACTGGTGCACTTTATGGTGTGCTCTTGAAAGAAATGGGTTGGAGAGAGAAAGAAAGAAGATACAGCTTCAGAGAAAGACCAGTACAATGGAAAAGAGCACTTTAGAATATTAATTGTCAACCTCTACCTCCTGCCACCCTAAAATTTCCATATTGGTTGTTCAATTTAAGATGTCAAAGAAAGTGCACTAGCAAAAATAAGAGTAAAACCATAACTTCTTAACCCCACATCTTGAAGGAAAGAGCGTAGCAGCCCTCTAAAGATATTCTGTGTTAATACCACAGATTACAACCCAAAAGAATGGAAAGGTTTGTTACAACTTCTACATTTTCCATCAGCAGCTCTGGCAAAGGGCCTTGGGCGAACCTCAGAAAGCTTCAGTGACTTTCTATCAACAGTGAGACCTGTGTGGGACACCAGACCTGTCCCACAACCAGGAACAATGCTCTTTTTGTTTCAGCCCATTTCTGTACGTTTTTTTGTTATCAAGTATTGCCGGGGAGTTTCATGGGCTGTACCGTGGGTGCTACACCTAAATGGGAATCGTTACTTTAAGCCTATTCGTGAACAATCCCACCCTTTCTTGAGACTACTAAATCCCTTCAGACAGAAAATGCTAATTCTAATATGTGGTAATGCTTCATTCTGGTATTGCATGCTTAGAAGGATGTAGTGGCTCGTATTTAAGGAGACAAATGGGTTTCACCCCATTTGGGAAGTTAATCAAGAAATCAAAAGTCTTGAAGCAGAGGCTCGCCTAGTGGCTAAGAATGTACCTCATGGAAACTAGTTAGTGGAACATTTTGGTAGGCATCCCTTTCTGTGATTTGAAGAGGCGGTGATAATAGGACTACTTACAACCCAGGCGAAGAATATCACACAAAATGCAGAAAGAATGTGTGAGGACAGTTAGCAAGAAGGTGACTGGGCAAGCGTCTGGAGGCCTCCTGAGTTCCTCTGGCCCAGGGACAAAGGAGTTTGGCCGAGGAAAGATGTGCCCTCACTCAGTGTCCCAGTGTCCGAGAAGAGGGACATATGATGGCTCTACTAACGCCGGCTGCAGGGCAACACTTCGCCACTCTGCCACCTGGGCAATCTGCATTCTGCTCCCAAAGCCCCACCCTGTGCTGAGAACCGCTGAGTCCTCAGGATGAAGCAGCGAACAAAGCCAAGTCCTTGTCTTAGGTACAGCAGTTCCTTGAGAGACAAAGACAATAGAAAAGTACATCCTTAGGTCAGGCAGTCACAAATGTTTAAAAAAAAAAATGAAGCAGGATTTGGGGACAGAGTGTGACAGAGTACATTTTTAGATGGATGGTTAAGCCAGGATCTCTCCAGAAGTCACTAAGCAAAGGCCCATGGAAGGGAGGGAGCAGGCATGTGAGCATCTGGGGGAAAGAGCATTCCAGGCAGAGGCAGCTCCAAGTATCCATGGTACAGGACATCCCTTTCAAAGGTGAAACTAGAGGTAAATGAAGGCTGGGGCCAGCCTATGTAGAGTCTGGCTTGTGTTATGGTGAGAGAGCCACAGAGGACCAAGGAGCACTAGTTGTGGAAGAACCCCGTGGCT